ACTGTTGTTTTAAACAGATTATCTAATCTGTAATACAAAGGACACAAAGGCAAAATGAGAGTCAAGGCTGGGTGTGTAATTAGTACAGATTGTTGGGTCTACCCTCTGGGCATAGTTAAACTGATTACAAATAGAAACAGATTTTTGGATTTAGCAAATCTTGCTGGCCCAAAAGGTTCTCACTGATGATGAAATTGAATATAAAAACAATGTATATGCCTTTTACAATGTATACCTAATATAACAAAAATATGTTCTGGAAAATCACTGATAAACACAAAGATATGAATGATTGAAAAAGAGAATGGTTTGTGGTGATTCCCATAATACATCTGGTTTGTAGCAAACTGAGAAATGTTTGGTTTGGTGTAGATTTAGCTTCTTTGTAGGTTAAAAAAATTTTTTTGTTATTGTTGTTTGCTACTGGCTGATCCCCAGATACTGTTCCCACAGTCTTCTTGTTTCTTTTAAGACAAGAAGTCTGACAAGTCTTTCCCAATTAGGGCTGTCCTCCACATTGTTAACAATGATCTTTCGAAAAAACACAAATCAGACTGTATTCTTTGCTTACTTAAAAACCTTCAGCCGGGCTCGGTGGCTCAGCCTGTAATCCCCCACCTTTGGGAGGCTGAGGTGAGTGAATTGCCTGAGCCCGCGGGTTCGAGACCCGCCTGGGCAGCGAGACCTCATCTCTACAATAAATCAAAAATCAGTCGGGCGTGGTAGCGCATGCCTGTAATTCCAGCTACTTGGAAGGCTGAGGCGGAAGGATGGCCGGAGCCCAGCAGATCGAGGCTGCCGTGGCTAGGAGCGGCCACTGCACTCCACTCTGGGCGACAGAGTGAGACTCCAACTCAAAAATTAATAAATAAATAAAAACCTTCAGTGGCTTCCTATTGCCCATAGAATAGTTTTAACATTCCTATTCACCATGATTTGACTTACTTTCCCTTCATGCCTTAGCTTTCATCACCTACCACCTACCACCCACCTACCTCTCCCACAGCAGTGTACAGTTTATGGCTCCTCCCACTATGGGGCTACTTGCTCCTTCTGAATATGCCCCACTGACATTCTCTGATCTTAGTTATTTTGGTCAAGCTGAACCCTCTGCCTGAAATAACCATTTCACTGAACCCTGCCGTAGTTCTATCCATCCTTCATGGTATAGATTATATTTCAATTGTCCCAAGAGGTCTTCCCAGATCCTTCTATTTGGAATTTGTATCATTTTCCCTTTTACTCCCATGGTGTTTTGCTCATGCCTTTATCTGAGCCCTTCCTACTTTCTGCCAAGTAGCTAATTGGACTGTATCTTGGTCTGTTTCCCTTGCCAGAGTAAGGAATTCCTGAAGGCAGACACTAAGTCTTTCTTCAACGGTTTAGCTTGATGCTTGAGACAGCATAGGCTACTATTGTTTGTTGAATTAAATTGGATTATATTTCCCCTGCCAAGATATGTCCATATTTATCTTTGAACAAAATCCTATTTCCTCTATCTCCCATAATGCTTCCCTGTTGTACAAAGCTGTACCCTTTGTCTCTAATCTTTATGATGGTGGCCCAGGCCTAGAGTGTGGTTTTGCTGGAATTCCAGTCATTGTAAGCCACAGGAGCCTGACTATGGGATTGGGTGATAAACTTCTGCTGCTGCTGAATGTACAGAGCCTCAGGAAACCTGCAATCACAGCTTAGAGAGCATAGGGATGTATCATTCTGAGTATTCCTAGAGGCCCTGTATAGGTAGAAGACGTGTCTCAGCATTTAGAGGAGTAAAATGCTGGGTTTACCTGGGGTGTCTAATGGCCCTATCATTGTTGATTTCTTAGGGAAATAGAACCAACATGATAATTTCCATTGAGTCCCCAAACCCAGAGCTTTTTTCAGTATTTCACAAAGTTTAACAAGACTGTTTAATCAAGTATGTGGTCAATTTTATGTGGAAACACTGACTCTTCTCATGCTTCTTGGAAGTTCTCTTTGGCAGAATATATCTCACTAATCAATTTTGGATTTTTTTAAAGAAGGAATTCATTACTATTTACTCACTACAGTCTAAGAAAATACAGAATTTTTCAAGAGACGGTATAGCTTCATATGAGGTATAGAGTCAGACCTGGACTCAGATAACACCTCTACCACTTACCAACTGTAAATATAGGGAAAATACTGAACCTGAGCTTGAGATCCCTCGTCAGTAAAATGGGAATTATAATACCTACCTGAAGACATTATGGAGATGGTGAAATTAAATGAGATAATGCACATAAATAGTTTAGTACAGCACCTGCCCTACAATGAGGACTCAATACTTAGAGCTCATTACTATAATTTCAAAACATGAGACTCAAGAGATAGAAATAACAAAAGAGGACTTTGGTGACAAAAACAGATTAGAAACTACTGGATTTAACAAAACTGCTGGGTTTACCATAACTGCCACAGTAAACAAAACTGTTTAAAATTAGCAGATCATTTGCAGAGCAAAATAAATAGTATAGGAACTGACACGGTGACAATTAATAGATATTGTTTCATCTTGATGTTGGGCAAGGGACACTATCCAGAAAAGAAATCTGAAAGCAATGCTGAGAGTGCTCTCATTCGGGTCAACCCTAAAAATACTCCTCTTCATTTAAGTTAAGAAGTTGCTGTGAGACTCAAGGCTGGGCTTTCAACGGATCTAGCCGTGTGTGCCCTCCACTTTGGTGAAACCCGATCATGACCTAAGCCTGTGCTATCCTTGCCGACTGACAGCTGACCGCCGCCTTCACTGTGCGCCCTGCATAGTTCACCTTTCAGAGAAAGAGGTCTGATTTCCAAGTAGAGCATTGCCCTTTGTTCCTTTTCTCTTTTTATTTTGCTTGTACATATTTATTTTGAAAGGGAGGGAATTCAGATTACAGTCTGTTCAGTTGCTTTTCCCTAGGTAAGAGGGTTGGTTCCCCGGCAAATTTGATTGGAATTATTATCAGCACTCAGGAAGAAAAACTTTCTCGGCATTTAGAGGAGTAAAATGTAATCAGATTTATATATCTTAAAAGTTAGAGCATCCTTTCTTTGTACAGTCATGACAAATAGTTATAGTTAATAACAAGATAGAGAAAATATTAGTCTCAAATATTATAGGCAAAGGATTCAACAAAATACATATTATTCAAGTTAATAGAAAAATATCAGTACCCACTAGATAAAAAGGCAAAAGATATAAACTGCTATGCAGTGAGAAATATAATTAGTAAGTTAAAACATTAGAAAGTTGGTCTGCACTAGTAATCAAATTCATGCAAATGAAAGAAACCTTGAGATATCATCTTATATTAACTGAAATATATTTTCTCAATGGAGATGCAGTAAAATTGGTTCCTTCATAATTACTAGTGGCATTATAAATTGCAATAGACCTTTTGGAAAGTGGTATCGCAGTCTGTGAAATCAGACTTGCTGGATTTGATCACCTTGACTTTGCTGTGTGTCCTAACCAATGCCAGCCTCACAGCAGTCCTGGCCCTAGGTCTGTGCTGGACCAGATGAGTCCCCACACTTTCTTCCTGTGACTTGCTCACTGTTTCATCCTCTGTAAGAGGAGCTCTTCCTTCCTCTTCCTTCCTTCCCTCTGTAGAATTCCAGTCATTTCCTCTGTGCTTGTTGCTGCGCATCTCAGTGTCCCAAAGGATCTTTCCGGCTCCCTTGGCCACAGGACAGTTGGCTGGTGAGATTGCTCACATCATATCACCCTCACAAGATATTGAAATAGCGACATTGGAAGTGGAGTCTAGAAAAGTCAAGGGAGTAGATTTGATCTCTAAATCTCGAAAAGCAAATCTAAAAGAACCTGAGCCCTGGGCCAGGGCCAGCCATCTTGAATTTCCTGATAAACCATTATCTACTTAGATTTGCCTTCTGGGAGACTTTTGCATGACAGCAAGCCAAACATTCTGATTTCTTCCCATAATCTTAAACATATAAATGGTAGGCAGTCAAAGAATGAGAGACCGTTACCCATTAGCCTCTCCCTAGTCCTAATTTGCTTGGTATCGGTTTAAACCTATGCTTTAAATCAATTTTGCTTTGTGTGTGAGAAATTTTTTTGGGGGGATAGGAATGAAAAGCCCTTATAGATAAAAAGAAGAACTATTTGGGAAAAAAAAACTAGGACAGGCACAGTGGCTCATGCCTGTAATCACAGCACTGAGACAGGAGGGTTGCTTGAGTCCAGGAATTTGAGACCAGCCTAGGCAACATAGCGAGACCTCGTCTCTAAAAAAAAAAACAAAAGTCAAAATATTATTTGGGCATGGTGACATGCACCTGTAGTCCCAACTACTCTGGAGACTGAGGCAAAAGGATCACCTGAGCCCGGTAGGTTGAGGCTGTGGTAGCCAAGAGCATGCCACTGCACTCTGGCCTGAGCAACACAGTGAGATCCTGACTCAAAAAAAATAAAATAAACAACTCAACATCAAACTACCCTACCCCTTACCCCAATTAAAGCAAAGTTCCTAGAACAAGGAAATCTGTGTGAGGTTCAGGACCCAAGAAGATTACACTGGGAGCCCACAGGACCCCCCCACCAACACACATACACACAAGGACACGTGTAGCACCCACACAGCATCTGATGTTTTGGTACCAGTGAGGTCTGGTGAAAATGCCTTTCAAGCACAGCCTCGCCTGGGAGGAGATGTTGCAAAGGGCCAACATGCAACCTGTGGTGTGAGTGGAGCAAGGAGCATGGAGTGTAGCCTGCTCGCTCCTTCTTACAGTCAGTGATCTATGGAAGGAGCCCTTCTGGCGTTCTCGTTCTCCTGACCTCCAGCACCCTCCCACACACACCCTTCTCCTTCCCATCTCCTAGCAGTCTTTCCCCCCACCTCTGCCCCAAAAAGGAATCAAAGCTGTAGTTTTCAGTAGTCCAAACAAGTGCTTGGGCTGTGACTAGTGTGAGCCTGACGCTGTTACAAATCCTGCATTTCAAATCCTCCTCTTTGTTTTGGCAGAACTGGCTTATGATCTGGACGTGGATGATGCACCTGGAAGCAAGCAACATGAGAATCCGAAGGACAACGAGATAGCTGCCTCTCACAACCTCGGGAATGCGCGTTCTCCCCTGAAGCTTCTCATCAGCACGGCCATCTATGTGGTGTGCTTTTTCTTCCTGGTGCACTGACTTCCTAGTGCCCAGCACACGTGCTGCCCTGCAGCACTCCGTGGTCTTCCTTGATGAAGGGAACCACTTTCTTATTTTTTTCTATTTTTTTTTTTTATCTTATGTACCTCCTCCAACCATTAAGTAGAGGACTAACCATATGTTACGTTTTCGAAAATCAAATGGTATCTTTATGAGGCAGGTAAATTTTAGTGGTAGTATAGATTGTCCTTTTGCAAAGAATAAAAAACATCAAGTTGTGCCAAATTATTTTCCTATGTTTGGCTGCTAGAACATGGTTACCATGTTTCTCTCTCTCTCTCTCTCTCTCTCTCTCTCTCTCTCTTTCTCTCTTTCTCTCTCTATCTTTCTCTCTCTCTCTCTTCCCCCGCTCTTTCACTTTCTCCTTCTCCCTCTCCCCCTCTTCTCTCTTTCCCTTTGCATGGATTTCTTTGGAAAAAAAAATAAATGCTGAAATAAAAATGTATTGGCTCTTTTTTGCAAACCCTCATCTATGATGATTGTGCAGTTTTCCTCCTTCTCACCTGGTTTTCTATCCAATATTATCCCATCAGACCCTAGTGGGGTCCTTGAAACCCACCCCCTTGCCTACCTTTGGGTGGGAATCAATCCTTGCTCCAAGCCCCAGTCAAAGCCACCCCCTCCCAACACACACTCACTCCACAATCTCCACTTAGAAACCTTGGGTTGGAGTATCTTGCCTGTGAAATCAAAAGTATCTCAAAAGATTTCCCCAGCCTGGTCTCTAACAATTTTGCTTTGCTAAAAATGTTTTGCTCAAATAGAGGTCCTGTGTGTGGGTCAGATACAGTTGCAAGAGTCACATCCTCCCTTCTCTCAACTCAGAGAAGTGGGCCCAAACAGTGCAAAGAAATCACTCTCCTAGCTTCTTTGCTGCTGTCTCAACTCTGTCACCTGTCTCTCCAGGGGCCACCACATGGCAGGGCCAGCAGTTGCCCTGGGTCAAGTTGCAAAAGTTGTCATCAGCAAACTCATGATTTATAGGAAGCAACTTTCACTCTTGGCCTCAGGTGGACTTCTTGAACATTCATTTATTCAACAACTAGCCGGGCTCGGTGGCTCAGCCTGTAATCCCACGCCTTTGGGAGGCTGAGGTGAGTGGATTGCCTGAGCCTGCGGGTTCGAGACCTGCCTGGGCAACTTGGCGAGACCTCATCTCTAC